TGTGTGTGTGTGTGTGTGTGTGTGTGTGTGTGTGTGTGTGTGTGTGTGTGCACTGCAATATTAACGCCATTGCTGTTATTATTATTATTATTATTGCTATTATGCTATTACCTCGTGAACCGGATGACGTCGACGGTTACGTGAAGTTTAAAATGAGTTCCAAAATAAAGAGTATTTTATTTACAGTAACAATAATCAGGCCCCATTTTAGGACAATTTTTGGGGCCCCCTAATCCATAAATCAATATTTCTTTGTTTATAATTTTTTATTTATTGTTAAAAGGACTTAGGAAATGTACGTTCAGCAGTTCCAATGTCGTGTTGTTACCTTAAATATTAGAGTGAATTTACCTATTCAGTGGCGTAGCAAGAAACTTGGTAGCCCTAGGTGCCAATGTAATTTTGTCCACAAAATACGCTCTAAGGGAATATTTGATATACTGTTCTGTAGAATCAACCAAATTCGATAATTTTATTTGAACTAATAGTGGGTAATAACTAATATTCTACAGGCCGCATTAAACTCCGTTTTTCAATATTTTAATCTCAAACTTTATAATATGTCTTCATAATTATTACAATTTCATACTTTTTTTTACAAATTATATTTCTAATTTACCTTTATTTGAAATATAACGAAAAATCGGAGTTCAATGCGGATTGTACTTAGTCTTCTTCTTCTTTCAGATCCGTATTAACCACCCGTCCCCTGCCCCCTAAATAGATTAGTGGAAAAGTATTATAATTAAGGTGGCAACCTATTATCAAACATAACTGTATAAGAACATTATCCGTATTCTTTCGTTAATTGTTTACAATGTTTTAATTTTCAAGTGAAGTTGAACATTTTTAAATATTTTACAAATTCATATGATAAACACTTACAAATTTAAATATTGTAAAAAACGAAGAACACAGATAATGCTCTCGCCTTTAATGTTGATAATATGTAAATTTACTCTAATTCACTGCTAACCACACAAAATTGGAACCGCTGAACGTACATTTTGGTATGTATTACACTATTATGCAATGCGTTACCTAGCAAGATGGTGACAACACATGTAGAGACGACGTTATCTTAATGGTTGGTAATGCAAGTAATGCAATCCTTGTGGCATCGTTCGTAATACTTTTATTTAAAAGAACTTCTAGTAAATCAATTTACTTATAACATGATTTCTGAAATAGTTTAAAATGAGTGTATTATTTACAGATTTACTAATCTAGACGTTTTTTTTGCAATGCATTTGTGTTTGTTTAAGAACAAACACATAATATAGGTAAGGTAGGTAATGTAACATTGAATTATTTCACATATTTGCAGGTTATCAAAATACCATATTATTTTATACACGTGTGTATATGTAATTGTACGTATAGAAATAAGTAGTAATTAAAACTTAAAATATTTAATTCAACAATATACCTATTACCTACTGATGGTATTTTAACTATTGACTATTATATTGATTATGTAAAATATTTACCATGGGTATTTAAGCTATTCAACTGTTCAACGCATCTATTCAGAATTAATATAATTCCTTTATTTAATGCCGCAGTATTAAAGTTTAGTATTAAACCACATGTATTTCATTCTACCCAGACACTGTTGTATTTTAACACTCAAAAACACAATTTACAATTTAGTTTGACAGATTTAGTAAACCGTATGGACTGACTTGTGTGTTAATCAGATAATAATAATTATCAAGATCAGGATTTACACGGCGTTAGTGCGTTACCCAATTTTACATATCATTCAATTATAAACCATATTCATAATGACATTTTAATAATACAATTTTATTTCGATTCTGTAGCTTGTAATTAATTACATATTAAACAGGCTACGTTTTTAGTTATCTCAAATAACATTAATTATCGTTTATTACTGTTGATGTGCCGCAGTGCGAAGATTGATGATAAAAATATCTAAATTTATTCGTAGAAATTCGTTATTGCTATTTTTTTTTATAGTATCGAGTATCGACGTGGCTCGCGTGGCATATCCGAGTCGGGCAGTGACGTTATATTATTATGTACTATATGTATATTATAGTTATTATAGTTACCCACTAACAATATTATTGAATGTGCAACATTTTCGTTATTTCTTATTCATTGTTTGGTTTCAGCTAATGAAGCTGCTAGAGTATTATTAACTATTATTATTTATTTTAATACATTGTAAGCGGTCAACACACGTGGAACATAGAAATTTAGACGTGTTTTCATTCCAATGTACCGATTGATCTAGTGAAGCGATGAGAATTATAAAAACAGGTTTCAATTTGTCGTCATGTCTACTTGAGATCGACTATCCCACATTCTTGATTTTATACCCCTAAATCTTAAAAAAAATATTATGGAAATTGAATGACTTTACTATATAGATAATACTTTTATTATTACTTATTAATAAATCATAATATGCTATAATATTTTATCGCATATTCTTATGCAATAAGACGACGTTTTTAATTTTTAGAGATATCTTGATGCGTAAAATTATAATATTATCCAAGCGATCAAAAACAATTGATGATACATTGATACCTATTTATCAGACACGGACGATGGACATTATGTATATACATTATTCAGAATATTGCATAACAATACTTTGTGCATGCAGTTCCATAAAAAAACTAAGACTTTATAAATTAAACAATAGTTATCTGTCATATATTTTTTTTTTTTGTTTGGTTGAGATTTCGATAACTGAGGTTCTTAGCTTATGGAACTATGGGGGAGGGTACTGTAGGTAGTAGGTTTTGAACACCAGTGTGTTTATTTTGGTAGAATTTTTTTAGTGGGCACCCATAGGTATCTGTCATGCCCGGGTCGGAGTGGCTGTGCGGATTAAGGCGTCGGATTCGACGCGCACCGACGCCGGTTCGATCCCGGAAACGGGCTGAATTTTTCTTCGGGCAGTCACGGTGTCCGGAGAAAAAGGCCGCCATCCCCACCTAGGGCATGGCAGATACCTACGGTAGCCCACTTAAAAATTCTGCCAAACACAAACACACTAACGTGTAAAAACTAAAAACTCACAGTTCCAAACCCTACCACCACCACAATACAACTCTACAAACAGCTAGATGACGGCTTAAGGATCATTAAAAAAAAAAAAAATACAATAGCCTGGCGTATTTTACCAATACTTAGCTTACCTCAGGTTTGAGACGGGAAACAGGTAGAACGAATATGAGGTTTATTAAATCTGTATTATAATATGATTCAGTATTTAAATACAATAAATATAAAAAAATATTTTTTTTTTTGAAAGAGTACTTTCTGTATTTTATAACTTTATGAAAGAGTTTCAAAAATAAAAGATAGGTTTATAAGTCAATCAAAATTGTAATTGAAAATTGGGCGGGACCCAAACATATTTTGTGAATGATTGAACATTATTTCACTTAATGTTTTCGGAAACGATACATTTGATTCTGTGAAAGTCATCATTCACTGGTAACTAAGAGATACACAAATTCCAGACTTTTTAAGTAAGATAAGTAGGTAAATATATTATTTAAACTTTAAAGGTAGGTAGTATAATGTATAATATGGTACATACAAATACAATATACCTTCGCGTTGTAATACACACCAAGTTGTATAATAGTACCTATTAATTTATATTAATAGGATGACACGGATGACCAGTTTTTCGACGCAGAAACTGGAAGTGGTCGGTTTATGACCAAGGAAAACTTGCATATAACGCAATTCAAATCAATAGAAGGTTAGTTTTTCATATAATTAAATGATATTAAATTTACAAGTATGAAACAAATTACTTAAGAACATTCGAATGGACAGTAATTATAATATCGGTAGTGGCGTGTCCAGCGGGTAGGCCTGGTAGGCCCGGGCCTACCCTGATTTTTAACCTTTAAGTATAGTGTATACCCAAAATATGCATTTTAAAATTATATATGATAAGCACACGATATATCGATCATATTTTTTGTTGTAAACAAAATAAATATTTGTCTATAAATAAAATTAATAATCGTAAAATTTATCGTCAATTCTCAAGCGCTTCTTGGAAATACCCCATATTTCTATATAGATATTACACGACCCGACGACCGTCGTCGTTTGGTCAGCGATCACCGCCGTAGTGTTGAGCGTCAAAAACTATGATATGGCTATTAGATTACAAATATTACACGTCATACTTATGACTTAAACAGTATAATAAAATTTTTCTTAAACTCAAAATGTGTTGACTATACAAGTTATTTTTATAACCAGGCCTGTCCTGAATTTTGGTCCTAGACACGCCTCTGGACTAGTAATTAATGGTTTTGATTTAATTTTCAGCATCATTTTGAAGAATTTAAGCTAAATTGTTTAGCACAGAAATACAACACAGGCTATACACCATACTATATAACATACAGTTAATAAGCAGGATTCAACGATTGAGAGTTTAAAATTAGGCATGGCAGGCGTTAGAACTGATGATTTGACCACGTTGATCGAAAGTGTCAACAAGCTAAGAAATCAGATAACTTCCACAGAAAGTAATATTGTAGTACATCGACCCATACCCACCTATAATAGTGGTTATAAACATTACTTTTTCATTTAACGTTCGTTTAGGAAAAACCGAAAAACCTCGGAAAAACCCAATAGCTGCAAGCATTGCTTATTGAAAACTCGGATCTCAATTCTTGAAATTACCTAAATAGGAATAAATCAGATAGGTATTACATAATTAGTAATTACTAACAATGGGTGCAAGTGTAGTGAAAGTGACAAATATTTAAAAAAAAATTCTTCACAAATAATTGGAATGGACCATACGTTTTGGGCACTGTTGTTGACGAGAATGAACTCGGACGTGGGGGCCGCTTGACGATAACAGAAGAAAACCGTTTCGACGGAAACCTACCGAACACGCATTGTCACTAACCTACCACGTTGTCCACCTGTCCTTGTCACTTACACTGGCAGGGCCGCCACCGGTACATTCAGTTCCGATGAGGCCACCACCTCTACCTCCCTCGGTAACCTCAGGTTTTGGGCCACTACCGCCACCTCCACCGTTCCCGACGATGATGACGACCGGTACGCCGGCATTACGGAGTGAGCTGAGGGAGAAGGAGGGCTCCTCAAACACGACCGTACCTGACAAAAAATCTCCGAAAACGGTACGCGGCAGTACGTTGTCGTGGCCTTTCCATCAGGCCCTACTCAGTTATAGTTAATAGTTATGTCCAGTTGAACCATTTGTATTTCTATTTGTGTGTATAAACTAAATCTGTTTACTACTAATATACCTAACGTGTTGGTTTTATAATGTAGGTTTTTAAATAACCATCACAGTTATGAGTTATTACCTACCTAAAGTTTCACTAAAACTATATTAATTGTTTGTTGCTGGAAGATCCTAACATATTTATAACTTAATATTTGTTTATACATTTGATGATATCTCCTTCAACAGACAAACGAGTGAAATGGTCCAGATATTGTTCGATTGTCGAAGATCTAATTTCAGTTTTGAAAATACTGCGCTTACAAGTGCACGGAAGAATGAATTTGAATACTATGCACAATATGTTGAATAAACCAGACGTTGTAGTCGTCAATTCGAAAAGAATTGTCCCACTCACGGACTCGTAAGTGATTTAAATAAAATATATACATTTTCCCATTTGGTAGTGGGTATAGACCACTAGTAATGAAAAACATCCCTGGGTCCACGTCAATCGTCACCCGTCGGGCCAGACCGACTTCACTGGGTAATATTATTTCAGGAAAATATTTCCAAAAGAATAAATAATATAATATGATCATTTACTGATTTACCAGCATGTATATTTTATCCTGGTTTAAAAACTATAATTAAAACACAGCAGTATAATAACATACAAGACTACGTCGTTGTACAGATTACAAGCGAATGGCTTATACAATCGTGTTAGGTACCTATGTTATAACATTTTATTGCTTTTTAAGTACAATTTCCGGAAGAGAATATTGATTGGTGAGAATATATTCAGTAAGTACCACTGCAGAGATTATTCTCTGTTTACATACTAATTTACATTTACTACTCTGTACGGCCATAATAATATACTGTCTCTATTATATAATATAATAATACACAGTAGGTATACGTTGACCGGGTCGTGGTTATCTATAATAGCATTAGCAGATAACAGTGGTTGAACCATATGCATAATCTTTGGCGTGATTATTGCCTCCTCCCGCAAAAATATCGTCCTCTTCCCTGTTTCAATATTATTATACATTGATTATTATTAAATTATTTACACATTATTTTATTTTTTTTTTAAATAATTTTGCTTTAGCTTGAGTGTTATTTTTCTGCGTGCGTTTAACGTAATTTTTTTTATTAAATTATATCGATACACTTAAAGTTTCGCTCGTTATAATATGGATAAGTACCTACTTAGGTACTAACTCTCCTAATTTTACACGTCTACAAAACTTTAAGGACTGTTTATAATGTTTACACGTATAGATCTATAATAATTGGTAAATTATTATTAGAGGGGTGTCACCTCCTCCCTCATTTTATTTTTAGACATAATAGGTAAAGATATTGCATATAATTTGACCCCCCCCAAAAAAAAAAAAAAAAAAAATTAATTAATAAAATAAAATAAAAATACTCCAAATTATGGTACTGCGTTGAAATTGTCGGTTGTATAAATGAATTAGGGTGAAATTTCCTTTGGTTTTGATGTAATAAACTAATATTATATATGGCTACCATTATTCCTCCACTATATGATTTTAAATTTCATTTTTGTTAATAATTTGAATTAGAGACTGAGTGTTTCTTTTAATATAAATATGATTTTGGACTGGATACAACTTTTATATTTCTACCCGATTTCGCACCGTTACAGTTGCCATGCCAATCAAATATATTGCTATAGTACACCATAGCAACTGACGAATAATACAATTACGTTACCATAACAACCTCCTTAGCCAAAACGATTTCTCCGTCAATTTTTGACGGTCGTACATATCTGCAGCTCTCGTCGCACTATTTATAGGAGGAATGAATTGACTCACGACTGAGAAAATCGGAAAATCATCTGTAAAATTCCAACCACTATCGAAAATCCATTTTCTATCTGAAAATAAACGTAAAATAACCATAATTTGTTAAATGTTGAGCATTCTTACCTGAAAGCGTCCGCAGAAATGTATAATTTTGCACCTTCGCATGATAATTTATACACATGACTAATATTACTGAATAGCTATTTGCTCAGCGTGCGTGTGACCTATACGCAGCTACGCATTATTTATTGTTTTCCATCTCATTTCTGCCTATGTGTTATCGTGGTATAAGTAATTTGTTTACTATTATAACCGCTTTGCAGAGCTAAATGTTGTTATTGTTTTTGTTGTTACTGCTGTTGTTTGTAGGACCGCATTACACAGCTGATATACGGTTCGATATTATAATTTGTACATGTGTACGATCAAAATAAAGTAAACGTCGGTGTGTGTGTGTGTGTGTATGTGTGTAGCCATTAGGAGATATTATATATTATATACGTGCAATGGTTTTCGATGGTAAAATTGCGAAAGAAAAAATATCAATGCCCCAAGGATACTCTGCAGCAGTGGGCGCAGTGGTTCATTTCTTGTTTGGCCGCTAAGTAACAACGCGTATCTGATGAAAATATTGTTGCGGGCTGTCTGGTTTTTATAAAATCCAGCCTCGTGCCTCTCGCCCTTGTAGCGAGAACAATAATATATTTTTGCGTTTTACGTACCCATTGGGTATTATACGCGCGCGTGTGTGTGTAATATAACGACCGAGAAAACGATCGAAAAGTGGTGTTTTTGTTTTCAAATATAGTGTCCTCGACAGTCTCACCCACTGCGATGAGAAAACATAATAATACAACCACCGTCGGTTTAAACGACTTTTGTTTTCTTTTTCCTCCGTTCGCGACATTAAGTTTTAATATTATATAGCCATTAGTCTGCGACTCTGCAGTATATGTATGCGTACACACGATAAACGTTTTATACTAATACGTTATTGTTAGGTGTGTCTATGCCTTTAAGGTTGACAATACTGTTATTTCTTAAATTCTTAAATGACTTTATGTATGTAGGGAATATGCTAGAGACGCGTCAGTTCTAACAGTACCTACTCAAATATACAGGGTGATTCACCAAGTATGTACTTTTTTTCTTCGCAGTTATTCAAAATCTGATTCTTGGAATTTTTAAATATAAGTACCTATGAAGACCGAATTTTCTTATTCTTGAGATTTTTTGAACTACTTAAGGAGTGCCCTGAAGTGGAGATAAAAGCTTCTTTTTTTTAAATATTAGAACCGTTTTTTCTACTGTAAATTAGTTAGCAAATAATTTTGCTGAATATTATGAAGTATCAAAGTAAAACAACTACCTAAGGATAATAGCTCCCATGATAATGGGTTTGGAAAATATGGCCATATGGGGTCTACGGCGATTTGAACATATTAGTCATTAATATCCATCAACATTCAATATTATGTATAATTTATAAAAATGGTCCAAGTATAATAAATACAAGATCCAATATTTCATCTATTTTATATTTTTAAAACCATTTTTTAGGACTATATTATTATCCTTAGAATAAACATTTTAATAACTGGAAACTACTCGTTCAAATTATGAAAGAGGTACATCGACATTTTCTAAAAAATTATCCACTAAATTATTTACCGTAAAATGAGGGTTCACATTTGATAAACAGCGAAGTAAACATATGGTTGAATATATGATATTTAAGCATATTATTTAAAAATCCTAAAATCAGAACTTGTAGAAAAACATTTTTAAAGGAAAAAACGGGGATGATCATTCATAGTAAATGGTGACCCTGTATAGAATAATGTATAGGTAACATATATCTTACAATTAAAACAGCATTCTGGTCAGTCTTTTTCGAAAAACATTTTTAACCGTATTTAAAATGAATACTCATTAAAACTTGTTTTCGGCGTCCGAGGAATGTTTTCAACCAACCACTCGAACATAATATACATTTTAAAAATACAAAAACAATTTATAGGTAGTATTAGGTACCCGTAAAATGTAATAATAAAATTGTACATTATATGGAAAAATAATGAAATAATAACAAGTAGGTAACAAACAAGTTGATTCATTTGGGTATGAAGGGCAAGGATATAAGGCAAAAATAAAATTCTTTCAACTTCAAATCAAAGCAATTAAAATATTTAAATGATTATGGCTGTAGGTACATAATATGTTTATTATTTTAGTTAATTTAAGTACCTAACTTACCCTCATAATGGTGTAGTAAATCATATTATTACGTCCTGCAGTATATATACACACAAAATACAGAATTGTTGTACGATAGCTTCGAATAGTATACCTATTTTGTTTCTAGTAAAATCATTTTGAAAACAATAATTGTGATTTAGCAATCCTATGTGGTAAAAAAATTCAACCAGAAACAAAACAAAATTAATTGGACGAAAATATCCGGTGTAGCTATAGGTACAAGGAAATGCTTTAAAAAAATAATCAACACATGTTTTTATTATACCTACCATTAATCGGCAGATTAATTTTTTTCAAATCATTTTGAGTTTTGACGTTACAACTGTATAATATGGGGCTCTACGATCGAAATTAACTGAATAAAAGCGATTTCAAATATAATCATCAATTAATATTAAAGTTTTTAGGTCTTTTTTTTGTAAAATGTATCTAGGTTTACTCAATATTAAATAATAGTTAATACTCAAATAATAGACATTAATTATTTATAATAATATAATTATAACTAGATAAATAAATAATAATAAAAAATTAGAGATGTTACAAACTGTTATAGGTTTTCAACATTTTAATGATAAATAACTAAATTCTAAATGGCTATCACAGTGGCGTATTTAGGTTTTTGTCTAGAGTGGGGGGATATGATTTCATCCAGTGGCCCCGTCTTTAAAGTTAGAGGCCTTAAGTTAGGACTCCAAAAACGTTTGCATATTATACACAGCTACTGGGGTGGAACACCCTTTATATTAAAAATACTTGAAAAAATAGTCTCACCCAAATATAGTATCAAAAATAGATGTTTAAAAAATATAAAATTGATATTTTGTATTCTGCACGTGCACCATTGGGAGGTATAAGAATTTGGAAAGTTTCAATTAAAGTGCATTGTCGGAACTAACTTAATTTAGCCGAAGAGAGTATTTTCATCTACATTATTGGTGATATATCCATTAATGCAGTGTAAATTGTGGATTTAATGTATAAGTTTATACGACGAAACCTTTCAATAGGCTATGTCGGACGCCATAGGAGAATTGAAATGGTTAAGGTCAAATCACGTTCGTTTATGTGGAATTGCACTCAGTTTAAAAAAGGTAATGTTCGAATTGCACTCGTTCCGTTCATTAAACAAAAAACATATTTATAAACTACCGGGGTAAGCAAAAGTCACGCAACCGATTTGTACAAAATGACGCAAAATATAAAAGGTTGTTTAACTTTATTATATAAACAAAAACAAATATATAGAGCTTAATTTATACTATAATTTTAATTTATACATGTTGTATGTTCAATATGAGGCAGGAATACGATTGAGAACGGTCATTATTGGCGATACCTTTCTTAGACCCTTTTGACTATTACGATTGAGAACGCTCAGTTTTTATTTTTCCGCCCAACGTTGCCAAACTTTGCCATATAATAATCGGCTATGGCTATAGCCTATATAAATATATATGACTCTTAGCACTGCTCACACACTATGTAGCAGGAATAAAAGTCTTTAAAACTCAATACTATTCAACAGGGTACTGTTCAAAAGGCATCAAAAGCAGATGAAGAAAAAATTTCAAAAACAATACAGTCTTATATTAACTACTGTCAAAAAAATCTTCTGAAGGATTAGTAAAATATTTAACACATATGGGAAATTTATATAGGGAAATTAAATTGTAAATTATTTTTAAATGTTCGTATTATTGGTACCTACCAATAATACAAATTTTTTAAAAATTATGACATTTTTAAATTTATAATTTTTAATTATTTTATTCAATGTTTTATTTCATTTTTATTTTGACTTGAATATAGTTCGGCAACGTTGCCCTTAATTTCGTTCTCAATAGTACTGTTTTATTGGGTCAGCGGTTATTTCATTGTTCCATTTCGAGTGATCTCAATCGTACGCTAAAAAAGGTCGAACGTTCTCAATCGTATTACAGCCCAATATGACCACCGTCTTCATCAATACACTCTAAACAACGCTTTCGGACCGTTTGGCAGATGCGTTCTAGAAGAGCTTTGTCGTCACTGATCACATCAAGTTCTGAAGCTGATCCAGAATTTTTTCGTACTGTGCTTTGGAGCGACGAAGCTATTTTTAAACTAAACGGGAGTATAAACCGACATAATTGCGTTTACTGGGCGTTTGAGAACCCGAATTTAGTTCTACAACAAGAACTAATGTCCCGGGAATCATGGTTTGGGCTGGAATTTGCGCCCACACGATCGTTGGGCCGTATTTTTTTGAAAACGAAAAAGTAAATGGTACGACGCACTTAGACATGCTGCAAAATCTTAAAATTGAACTTGCAGAAAGTCCAGTGTTTGCCGGTCATCAAATGACATTGCAACAGGATGGCGCACCTGCGCATTTCTCAGTCCAAGCACGAACGTTTCTCAATGAAAACTTTCCGGGATGGATCGGACGCCGCGGAATAGTTGACTGGCCACCACGGTCGCCGGATTTTACACCCTGTGATTTTGCCTTATGGGGCATACTGAAGGACAGAGTATTCGCCCGTCGGCCACGTTCCATCGAATTTTTGAAAGCAGTCATCACGGAAGAACTTGATGTGATCAGTGACGACAAAGCTCTTCTAGAACGCATCTGCCAAACGGTACGAAAGCGTTGTTTAGAGTGTATTGATGAAGACGGCGGTGATATTGAACATACGCCATGTATAAATTAAAAATATAGTATAAATTAAGCTCTATATATTTGTTTTTGTTTATATAATAAAGTTAAACAACCTTTCATATTTTGCGTCATTTTTTACAAATCGGTTGCGTGACTTTTGCCCACCCCGGTATATAGTAGGTATTTACTAACGGATATCAGCCGACGATCGGCAGAATAGGTTCGTAACTAGTGATTTTAATACGTAAAGTGTATAATTGTACACACTTATTATATGTTGTGTCCGTCTTACAAATGTGAAATATAGTAGTAGGTAACTGTTTTGGGCGGTACTGGTTTGCGCACAAATACCAAAAAGACAACTTTTTTGGGCACAAAACTACCACTCGTTTGGGAACAGTTGAACCGTAAACATGCACATGGTTTGCGCACAGTTACCTTTTGGCCTGACCTTTTAATACCCTCTTAATAAGTAAATTATTAAAGTATATCTACATACATTTTCAGACTTAGACAGACTTAGGACTGTCTATGAATATATTCATAGGTGTGGTTAAAAATGCATGTTAATACTTGCTTATTATTAATAATAATTGTTAATAAATTATGTTAAAAATGCATATAATATAATGTTTGTGTAAAATGTGTTAATTTTAATTTTAAGATATATCAATTTAGAAAAACTACTTATATAAAATATTTATTTTGGCCCAAATGATATGTAATTTTTAACAGTTAACAGTTAAGTTAATGAAAAGCCAAAATTAACTAGGTAGTTAAGTTAAAAAGTTAATATAAAATTAACTTATTAACTTAACTTTAACTTTTTAACTCGTTAATGTCCAGCCTTGCATTTTTGCACCTTTGGCGCTTATGTCATATAGCCTTATTTTCGTGTGCGCAAACCAGTTGTACATTTAGGATAACAGTGTGCGCAAATGAGTTCCGATTTTTCAGGTAAAAATTATAAAATGTGCGCTAACAAGTTGCAGCCACTGTTTTTTGCGGGAAAGAACCGAGAAGGATACAGTAATAATAAATAAACGAAATTTTCACCACATAAAATGGAGACAAAAAAAGTTGTCGAAATCTGAAAAAACATAAAAAATAATAGATTTTGAAACAATAGATCATCAAAAAATTAAACCGTTATTTCCCAGATAATTTACTATATTTTATTATTTTATATCAATTTGGAGTTTCAACTATTACTACAGTTTGAGTGGTTTCTATCCTGTACAAAACGGTTTTTCCTATGTTGTAAATTTGTATGGCAATTTGGAGACAGACGGGTGTAGCGTCCTCTTAACTCTGATTAGATTGCAAGCGTATTGAGCTAATTAATAATAATATTGATCCACTGTTTTTAATCACAATTCACAATGTACCTAATTATATTATGTTGACACTCGTATAAGATACTATAGTGTAAGCATTTTGAAATGTACCGTACGGTACATAATAATTGTAAGTAAATGTGGTAATAGTGTAATACTAATTAAGGGTGGCTATGGCTAAGTGGGTTACGGGACATGGTTCGCCTTATTCACGAGCAATATCGATCCTAATAAACCACGTCATTAAGTTAGGTACTTTCTCCGTACCTACCCAAACGAAACAATTTGAACTTTGGATCCCCTCAATATTAAAGCTGGACTGGGACGGACCGTTTATCCGAACTTGACTACTGACAACCACCGTCATAATTTCCGGTTTTAAATTTACACAACGGTGACAACTTAATTCATAATATTATAATTTATAACAACACCTCTCTATTATATATAAAAAGTTTTGTATAATATTATATTTTATACATGTTCCGCACAATATAATAAATTGTCATGGCAACCAAAAAAAAAAAATTATTATTATTATTATTAATGAAATAATAACTAAATAATTCCTTGAAACTTTCTTAATATTTAAAAGAGTTTTGTATGTATGCTTAAATATTTTAAGCTACAGCTGATATTAGATTTCGGGATGTTAAGGCGGCCAATTTTAGGTCGTGTGGAGCAAATCCCACAACGGGGTTGACGAGCGAAGTTGCGCCGAAACAAAAATGTTCATTTCCTTCAAAGTGAAAAGGTTTGAATTTAGTTTTCTCTTTAAATCTAGGAATACTTGGGTACATATGGGTACTGTTTTCAAAAATTCCATTCGATTAATATTTTTAGTTTTGTACTTTTTTAGTACAGTTTTGCGTGTTAATTAATCTATTTTGAATATTCTGTGATTTTATCCATTTGATTTTTGGATGTTTAATTTATAACCGTTTGTTTGTATATTTAATACCTATAATATATACATAAATCATTATACATCGGTGTGAACATTACAATTTAAACGTTTAAAATATATATTATATTGTAAAATTAAAATACGATTGTCAACTCGTAGAATTTTTAGTTGAAATGCGCATGGAATTATTCGTTGTTTTGCATAAACTGAAATTGGACCACAATGTGGGCGGAAACGTCCTGTTTTCGGAAATATAATTTTCAGGATACCATAAAACAATAATTACATAAAACCAAAACCACGACATCAAATCAAAACGATAATAATTTCGGAAGAAAAACAATTTTGCGGAGACGAAAATCTACTTAACTTTTTCATTTTGTCTGAAATGACGATGATGCTGCACGTCGGAGAGATGAGCCCAATATAATAATATAATGGTTAGTAAATTTTAATACCATACCTATACATTTTTATATAAAGGGTATATACCCACGTATACCGGAAACGAATCTCTACTCGATCTACATTACATGTCCGGTGTTTGGTCATTTACCTCGTTCGTGCAGTTCGGTTATACACTCACTCGTTCATATTTTTATCAACACGACTGCTGTGGCATACACACGCAAACTAATTCATACAATTATTTTTAGCCACGGCACGTCACGTCTATACAATAATAGTCCATGATCAGTCTAGGCGTAAGATGGGAGGTACAATAATAGTATACGTATTAGTATATTACTTAATATTAATATAACTTTTGAGTTCTGACTTAAATACATTAATTTTGATAGGTAGGTACATAATAAGTAGGTAGGTATTTGATATAATATTTAAATGGTAAATTCTATAGGATGTTTTAATTATGTTTAACTGTACACTGTTGATATTGTTTCCAGTACCTATATAGGTATACCAAAAATTTTTTTTTATAATCATAATTATTTAAAACCTATTACAGTGGCGTACGCGGGGGTAGGGTTCTAGGGTTCTGACCATCCCTGAAATTTCTTCCGTTGACAAATAAATAAAACCATTTAAATACACAAAGTCGATCAATTGTTGATCATTTTTAATAGATATAATATAAATTGTTAAATATGACAAAGACGTCGATAATCATAGTTTCAGTTTTTGGCTGATTTAGAACATTGCTAAACATCTGTCATAACCGTCGGTATGTCGATGGTGTATCATGTATCGCCGTCCATCGATAATTACCACATATTACGACCCGAAGAGGCTCTATAGATGACCATAGGCGTCAAGATAGAACACTCGAGTTATAACCAATTACATAAAAACTATTTAGAAAAAAAATAATGTAAATTATTTACTCAGGTGAAACCCTAACCAAACTAAAATCCTGCGTACGCTACTGAACCTATACGAATTACTCCAGACTTTACACTCAATACAGACTACAGTCTACACTATCGAGTCTATACCTATATTATAGTACAATAGTACATCATAGTGCATATAATGAAATCTATACGCACCGTTTTTTTTTTTTTTCACATTCTATTTAATATATTTCATAATTCTATTTAAATACTTGTTGGAAAATAAGTATATACCTATTTTAAAAATATACAATATACCTATACGTATTGGGTATTTTTAACGAGAATGCAGCCATCTCGCATTGTTACCAATTATATATGTATGCGCGTGTAAACATACCTATAAGTAACAACGGACAAAGTATAAAAACACGATTACCTCGAACGAGAAAAACATTTTTTCTCTAAAAAACGACGGTAAACATCGCGCGCACGGTCATATTAATACGGACGATCGGTGACAGAGCTGTATTTTGGCATTATAGAATAACGTTTTCGACCTTGGAAACTTCGACTGCAGCGACGGGTCGTCTTCGGGACGTTGTAATGATATAGGTAGTAATATTATGTATATATAGGTTTTATTATAACTCATTTTTTCAACAACAATTCACATCGTAAATAAAAAATTGAATAATTATTGTTGTTTTGATACGACGTAGGCGGAAAGGGTGGACAGACCCTATTCGGTTATCGGTGCGTGGCTGTGTGTGACGGCACATGAAATCCAAAATTATTGTATTTTTGGTTATTTTCAGATACCTACGCCACACATGACATAATATCAAAGCAGTGTGCGTATACATGAGTTCCTACACAAATAAAAATACACTTGTTATATATATATATGAATCATATTATGTAAATTCATGTACGCGAACAATAAAAGTTTTAAACATGTAAGTTCATAAATTATCAAAAAATATCATGAAAATTACAAAATCGCGAAAATGTGACAAATTTCCTTGCACTTTATTCAGATTTAGGACTGAATCCAGCCCAGTTATTGTAAGTAAAAATGTATTTATGTAATAATTTATATTATTAAAAACCAGAGGTAAGTGGTCCAGAGTACCTCGTCATTGTGAAGGTCACTGCAATGGATGTGTTCAATTTGAATTAATTTATTATATAATATATTCGTATTTACGATAAAATACCATTCTGAGCGGAGGCCTATATTTTCAATGATATTTTATCATAATCTTATATTACTATCAGTAATTCATTTTTCCATTAGTAATAATAAGGTAAGTAGAACTAATTTTTTCAATACCAAATCACAAAACCAGTTTAAACTAGTTTTGCGTATTAATTCCCATTACATATTTCTTAATTTTTTTTATAATTTTCCCGGTTTTTTGAAAAGTACTGGGAATGTTTTACTTTTGAGTTTTGAACTTCAAAAGTTAACAGTTGGCTACCGCAGAAACTACCCTCAAAGATGAAAATCGAA